CTCTCTCTCTCTCTCTCTCTCTCTCTCTCTCTCTCTCTCTCTCTCTCTCTCTCTCTCTCTCTCTCTCTCTCTCTCTCTCTCTCTCTCTCTCTCTCTCTCTCTCTCTCTCTCTCTCTCTCTCTCTCTCTCTCTTCTCTCTCTCTCTCTCTCTCTCTCTCTCTCTCTCTCTTCTCTCTCTCTCTCTCTCTCTCTCTCTCTCTCTCTCTCTCTCTCTCTCTCTCTCTCTCTCTCTCTCTCTCTCTCTCTCTCTCTCTCTCTCTCTCTCTCTCTCTCTCTCTGTGTGTGTGTGTGTGTGTGTGTGTGTGTGTGTATGTGTGTATGTGTGTGTGTGTGTGTGTGATCCCTGCTGCACAGCACTGCTGTTTCGCTCTCGTCATACCACCTTCACATACTTCTCTGCCACTCCGGACTTCTTCATACAGTGCCACGCTCCTCTCTCGGCACCCTGTCATAAGCCTTCTCTAAATCTACAAACACGCAGTGCAACTCTTTCTGAACTTCTCTGTACTTCTCCATCAACATTCTCAAAGCAAATGTTGCATTTTTAGCACCTCTTCCTGACACAAAACCATATTGTTCCTCATTGATCCTCACCTTTCTTCTCAGTCTAGCTCTCTAACTCTCTTTCCCATAACATCACTGCATGACTAACCAACTTAAGAACTCTGTAGTTACTGCAGCTCTGCACATCACTCTTGTTCTTGAAAATCGGAACAAGCAAACTTTTTCTCCGCTCTTCCGGTACCTTTTCACCTTCAAGGAGTTTGTTGAACAGTCTGGTAAGCCATGTCACTGGCAACTCTTCTACGCTCCTCCACCGGTATGCTATCTGGGCCTACTGCCTTATCACCCTTTATCCTCCTGATGGCTGTCCTCACTCCTCACCTCCCTGCTGATCCCTCGCATTACCTGATCTACTATCTCCACCCTTTCCCTCACGTTTTCTGTATTCATCAGCTCTTCAAAATACTCCTTCCAACTTCTTAATACATGCTCCTCACTTGTCAGTATAATTCCTTCTACATCCTTTATCATTCTAACATGCTGTACGTCCTGCCCAGCACTGTTTCTCTGTTTGGCCAATCGGTAAAGGTCTTTTTCCCATTCCCTTCTATTCAACCTCTCGTACAGTTCATCATATGCCTTTTCCTCTGCCTTAGCCACCTCCTCCTTTGTCAAACTCCGCATCTTCTTAAACTCCTGATTGCTCTCTTCGTCCCTTTGTCTATCCAAAGTCTTCTTTTCGCCTGTCTCTTCCCATGTATGCTATCCTGTACTTCCTCTTTCCCCCACCAAGTCTCCTTGTCCTCTTTCCTGCGTCCTGATGTCTCCCTAAGTACCTCCTTTGCTTTCTCCCTCACCACTTCTGAGATGTTTGCCCATATGTCCTCCTCTTTACCCAAAGCCTGGCTCTCCCCTTTTCTCTAAATTTTCTCTTGCAGTCCTCTTCATCACCACTTAATCCTTGGGTCAGCCCTCACTTTCATCTTCGCCTTCACTTCCAGACTCATCTCACCAATCAACACCCTATGCTGACTTGTAACACTCTCCCCTGGCACTACCTTACACCTGCTGAATTCTTTCAAGCTGCGTCTCCTACACAAGATATAGTCTATATGTGAACTTCTTCCTCCGATCTTCTAAGTGATCCTGTGCTCCTCCTTCTTCTTAAAATAGGTGTTCACAATAGCCATTTCCATCCATTTTGCAAAATCCACAATCATCTGTCCCTCCGCGTTCTCTCTTACACCGTACCTACCTGCCACCCCCTCATCACCCTTTTCCTTTTCCAACATGCCCATTTAGATCCGCTCCAAGAACCACTCTTTCCTCGCTGGCTATGTTCTGAACCAGTTCCTCTACTTCCCCCCAGAACTCTTCCTTGTCCTCTTGCTCACACCCCACTTGCACAAGCACTAAAAGCACTAATAACATTCAACAGGACCCCTTCAATCTCCATCTTCAAAGTAAACTCTGTCAGATACCCCCTTCACCTCCAATAAACTATTTATATACCTTTCCCTCACTACTATCCCCACACCATTTCTCCTCCCATCCACGTCATGGTAAAACAACCTGAACCCTCCTCCAATCAACCTCGCTTTACTTCCCTGTCATTTGGTTTCCTGCACGTAAGTACGTCTAGCTTTCTCCTCTCCATCATGTCCACCAGCTCTCTTCCGTTACCAGTCATTGTGCCAAAATCCAAAGATCCCACTCTCATCTCCACCCTTCTATTCTCCCTTCTCACCCGCTTCCTCTGGACCTTTGTTCCTCCTCTTCTCCTTCTCCCCCCTTACCTTTGTCTACCAGTCGCTTATTTATCACGGGCGCCCTGATGGACCTCAGCCCCGGTGGCGGTCGTTCTTACCCCGAGTCTCGGCGGATCGGGTAAGGAATTCGCTAATGTGATCCGCATAAAGATTTGGCACAGTTTTCACGTCGGAAACCGCCCGACACTACCCTCCCTATCTATCCGGCACTGGGGCCTGCACTGAGTTGCACTGGCCTGTGCCCCCCGTGGCTGGGCTTTCTCTATCTCTTCACAGTAGGATGAATAAATCAGATATAAGCATGTCCAAAGAGTCACTTAACACTCAACCACAATAAAGTGCCTATATTCCGTCATGAAATTCAAAATATAATTTATGATACAATTAGTTTCTTATTACAATCACCTCCCCTCTATCTCTTCTCAGTAATATCAACAAATTACATATCTATGCCTAGCATTGTTTACCCCGTCTAAAATGGGCGTGGGTCGTGATGGCCAATATACACACAATGCTGTTTTTTCCTTCTCTTTTTGTCGTAATGGCATGAGACAGCAACTCCTGCGGCCGAGCATGCGCGAAAGAGGCGCGCAAACCCTTTGTGTTTTATCTGCGGCGCCACTCGCGTGTTCGAACTAGTGAGGCGATCCACGTGGAGCCAGGGAGATAGTGGAAGCTGATGACGCTGTTACTCTAATTCCCTTTTATTGTTCGTGTGTGTCTGTTCGTCCCTTTTTCTCTCTCTTTCTCCATCTCTCCGTCTGTGTCTATCGGTCTGTCTGCTTCCCTGTCTCTCCCTCTCCCTCTCTCTCTCCCTCTCTCCCTCTCTCTCTCCCTCTATCCTTTCTCCCTCCCCCCTTCCCTCTCCCTCACACTCACCCTCACCCTCTCCCTCTCCCTCTCTCCCTCTCCCCCTCTCCCTATCCATCTCCCCCTCTCCTCCACCCCCTCTCCCCCTCTCCCTCCCTCAACAAACACCTACACGAGATAACACCAACTCCCTCAGAACCAACACCTCTCTACTCACGCTGCAGCCGCCTCGCGCCCCGGGGACTCTCGCTCAGTGAATGGCCCGCCCCGAGAACGTGAGGGAGCAAGGCGCTGGTGTGACAAAGCGTGGCGCAACTCCTCCTGAAAGATGCGGTGGGTCTTTACATAATAGAGGGAGAGGTTATGGTAGGGAAAAAAAGGAGTGGTGGGTGATGGGGACAGTGGTGTGAATAAAGATGGTGATGATGATGGTGTCTGGGGTCTCGTTCCCTCTCTCTCTCTATTCTCTCTTTCTTCTCTCTCTCTCTCTCTCTCTCTCTCTCTCTCTCTTCTCTCTCTCTCTCTCTCTCTCTCTCTCTCTCTCTCTCTCTCTCTCTCTCTCTCTCTCTCTCTCTCTCTCTCTCTCTCTCTCTCTCTCTATTTTGAATAGAAGAGGAAAAGAGAGAATTTGATATATAATAGAGATGAATATAACAAACGCCACCGTAGTACAGTGGAAGCGTGTGCGTCTTGGGGGGGGGGGTCGAGTCCTGGCTACGAACCGAAGTCAGGAACAGCATCCACTCGAGCTAAATGTTTGCCCTTGACAGATAAATATCCTTTCGAGGAAGTAAATGCAGGACAATGAAAACTACTAATAAAAATGGTTATAGTATTGTTGAAATATGACAATGGCACCGACGATATCATTCACAGTGGTCATTTTCATTGTATGATTGTTGTCGTAAAGAATACTTTTCTTCTGTTATCATCGCTCTGCCTTCAGCTGTCTCTAATTATACTGGTATCCTAATTACCACAATTATCATTACCACTATTGCTGCTATTGGTATCAATTTCATCTTTATCCTTAGCGTTATAATGCTATCATTATTCATGATTCTATTATTTTGTTATTTTTATCATCAAAATCACTTTGAGTTATTTCTTATCAATAATTTTCGGTTTTATGATCATTATTATTATTGCTGCCTATTATTATGGCAATGCGTTTCTCACCTTCACCTTTAGTATCATTATCACCACATTATTGTAATCAATATAATGAGTTCTGTTGAGAAAATAAAGATAAACATTTAATTCAAGTATAAAGAAACCAACGGCATCATTGTGTACGCATGAATGAAGTGTGTCGTGTCGTGTGTGTGTGTGTGTGTGTGTGTGTGTGTGTGTGTGTGTGTGTGTGTGTGTGTGTGTGTGTGTGTGTGTGTGTGTGTGTGTGTGTGTGTGTGTGTGTGTGTGTGTGTGTGTGAATGCGCGAGTAGGTGTGACAGTCGTGTGGCGAGAATGGTGCCAAGAATCTCTACACACAGTCTTAACGTATCATATAACAGCAGACTGTATTGAATAATGATGTCTATTTTATATGCTTTGTGACGGCACGATGGGCGGCGGGCGGGGTGGGGGGGGGGGTATGGGCGGGTCAGCGTGAGTCTCTGTTTCACCTCTTCGTGCTGTTTTTTCTTTCTTTCTTTATTCGTCTTTCCTTCTCTTTCGTTCACTTCACTTTTCTTCTTAATTGTCGTTCACTCTTACACCCCCTTCTCTGTCTCTTCGCTTCTTTCTGTCTCTGTGTATACGTACATAAATAGGTAGAGATGATTACACGTATTAATGCTGAGGGAAGAGAAAATAGAAAAAAACGACGAAGGAAAGAATAGAAAATCGCATGAAATGTCGCTCTGCCCTTTTCGCTTTGCACTTTCTTCAGGGGAAGAAAGAGAAAGAGGCAGTCGGTAGATTCGTCTGTTTCACTTTTTTCTCGCCCTCAATTCTTTTAAATGACACACACACACACTCACTCGTTCAGCTCCGACGCTGCCTCCTGCTGGGGCGACCACTCCGGGCCTCCTGCCGGGCCTACCCGCTGCTTCTTCACTAGCCAGCCACTTCAGCCCTCGCCCGCGCTGCAGTATTCCATCTCCAGGAGTGTGCATGCACATCTATATATATATATATATATATGTGTGTGTGTGTGTGTGTGTGTGTGTGTGTGTGTGTGTGTGTGTGTGTGTGTGTGTGTGTATGTCTCATCTCTCTCTCTCTCTCTCTCTCTCTCTCTCTCTCTCTCTCTCTCTCTTCTCTCTTCTCTCTCTCTCTCTCTCTCTCTCTCTCTCCTCTCCTCTCTTCCCTCCCTTCTCTCCTACCCCCCTTTTTTCTCCCTCCACCCAACCCTCTCTCATTCCTCAACTTCAATCCCAGTATCATCCATCAACCGAAACATCGACACAGACCAACAGGTGATAGCAACAGCAACCGAGATTCACAGACAGCGGCACAGTTCGCCTGCAGAGATCGCGGTCGACCCCGAGAGCGTGATGTTGCAAAGGAAGGCAGATGATGCGAATGTTTGACATGATGCAACTGCAACTTTCGGCTGCAAAAGGGCGGGTTTCTCTTTTCTTTATTTGATCTCCATTTTGTCTTATAGTTGTTTTTTCTTTTTTTTTTTTTGTCTTTTGTCTTCCTATTTGTTATCGATGTTGTTTCTAGGAGATAAACTTGAGACTGAGACTGAGAGTTAATTTGTTAGCGGTAAACTTTATGTAACTTCAATATAAATCTGAGAGAAGTTCCTACCGGTTCACATCTATCAGAAGTTAATTTCAATATTCATTTTATTTCGTACCCACAGTGTTTCATTTCTACATTTCATTCAAAGCTTCAACGTTTCACTTATACCTACATTTTGTTCCATATCGAATTTATATTTTGTATCTACTTTTCACTTCACATCTACCGTACATTTAGTTTCCTCTGTACATTTCCCTTCGTTCCTTAAGATATTCATTTCTCATGAGCATTTTGTTTCAGTTCTACATTTTTTGCGTACTTTAAATTTTCTTTACATTTCCAGAACGTTTTTCGTTCACATCCAAACGTTTCACTTCCCACTTTCGTTCACATCCCAAACGTTTCACTTCACCTCCAGCGTTTTCGTTCACATCCAAAACGTTTCACTTCCCACCCAGCGTTTTCGTTCACATCCAAAACGTTTCCACGAACACCCTTTAGCCCGAGATTTCACCACGTTCGTTCAGGCCAGAAGAACCAATAGAAAACAGACCGAACAACGAGAGATAATGTTACCGGCGCCGTGCTCTGAATTTAGAGGAGTTGCGAAGGTGTTAGAAAGATTTAATGATTTGTGGATTGCAGGATGTTGCACGTGAGTGCATGATTAGATATTTCGTCGTTGCTGTGGTAATGAAGATGATAATGTTGAAGAAGTTCGCCTCGATTTAAGGAAAAATGGGAGAAAGAGAGGACAGACAAAGAGACGGATAGACAAACAGACACAGAGAGACTAGACAGACAGAGAGACAAATAGACACAGACAGAGAAATAGACAGACGGACAGCGAGAGGCAGAGACAGACAAACAGCGAGAGGCAGAGACAGACAACTATATATTTATACTCAGGTGGAAATATTTAGACATAGAAAAAAGAGATAATTCAATTCAACTTCATTCCTTTCTTTATTAGTGTCACCATACACTGTCTCTTAAATGATAAACGGTCACGCAGAGTATTATCCAGTCCATTAGAACATATATATCCTCATTTAGCCAAGAGTCATAAAATCAGATTCACGAGTGACTGTAGCGGCCATCCACGGTCCCTCAGCAGCACCCCAGGAAGCGACCTCTCACGCCCACCACCAACACTCCCCCAAAAGATAACCCCCAGACAAGAGGTAGATGCAGCCTATCTATTGCATAATACAATATTCATACAACATAAGTATATATTTTATTTCATAAAAAACACTTTGTTACAAAATGTACGCTATCGTCTGCTTGGAAGAATTTCATTTCCAGACAAAGATAAAAAACATAAAATCGTACTGTGCTGTTAGGAAACATTGTCACTGCCTCAGATCTAAGGCGGACCCTGAAGAGGAAACGAGACTCGTCTTCCGTTTCATTCATTTGATAGTTTTCGCAAATCCATTCATGAGGAAGAAGATTGATGGCTCTTTCGTTTTCGTTCCTTAGAGGAAGAAAACCCATTCATAACTGTGCAAATGCAGATGTAGAGTTATGTGAGGTACATGAGCTTATAGGGTTCAGGCGTATAATTATGGATTTTTAAACAATTTGTCCTTCATTCGTGTTTCTCAATGTATCTGATGACTTCTATCATCATTAGTCCGTTCTGAAGCGCCCTTATTTCCCCGATTCTGTATTTGTTCGTACATTTGTTTGTTAAGTTGAGAACCGACCGCCATTCGAG